GAAATTCGCGACTGCTGTCAGTTTCCTAACCTCTTCACCGACGAATGTTCCGGTGTTTCGTGTTGTGTTCAATTAATAGTGATTTATAACCACATAACATGATGTCGCGGTCAGTGCGTGCAGAGACTCGTAGTCGTGCCAAGGATGATATTAAGCGTGTAATGCAAGTTGTTGACAAAGTTCGCCATTGGTACATCTCTTAAACATATTATAGATGCGGAAAAAATTGTTGGAAATCTTTCAGAAAATATATAACAAAAAAAAAGTTCAATAGTATTGGATTTTTATACTAAATTCAAGTTTTCATTACTTGCACGATTTAGTAAAAGTTTTGTATTACACATGTCAATTGTAAACAAACCTCTAGTTCTGAAAAGTTTCATGTGTGTTGATTGAATAATAGTGTTTTATGTTTATTTTTTTAATAACAGTGAAGGAAGTATTTGTTGTTCTGATATTGATCTAGAAGATGTGTTTTTCATGCGTTCACTTTTATAGGGAGAAAAAATGGGTCACAATAGGAGAAACAACTATGAAGATCTATAAGTGGGTGCCCATTTCAACACTTGATCAGGTAGGTGTATTTGTCATATATGCAAGAATTGGAATTGAAAATATCCTGTTTTTCAGAAGAAGAAGGGAAAGACAGTTGCAGACAAAGAAAATGGTTTACCAAGAAAGAGTGGATTAGATTCTTCAAATTCTAACTTTGGACTTACAGAAGACTCTAACACATGTAAGTTAAACTATACTGATTAGAAATTGTGATTATATTACTAATTAGAAATTGTAACATAAACAATATTTTTTAATGTCTTAGGTTTCTCAACAGTTAGTGATTCTCAAGGTTTAACAGATTTCTCTGCACATTTGGGATTTTCAGAAGATTCAAATTCACAAAATAGCGAACCAACATCTAAAAGGTTAAAGACTGATTAAAATTTATTCTGTAACTGTTATTTGGAAACTGAGGTATTTAGGAAATCATTTACATCTTTTACAAATTTGCACCTGATAAAATTATCTTTAATCATAATCATCACTGGATACATTAAAAGAACTTTATTTCATTTTTTATTCTATTTCATGTTCAGTTATAACTCTTATATATGGAAAAAAAATGAATACTTTTACGATATTGTTTATTTTTTTATACGTGCATTTGTTACAAATTTTCATCTTTCAGTTTAGAATCTAAAATTAATAATAGTTCATTAAAACATTTATGTTGAATGTTTAGTCTGTTTGGGAGAAAGTAAAGGAAATGTAAGATCTCAGTACTCAAAACGGATTCTCCATTCTTAATAATCTTTGTGTCATCGCAGTATTAGTTCATTTTTGAGATACATGTAACATTTTTGTTTACCAAATAGGTACATCTTAAAAAATGATTACAAAACATTGAGGAATTGTAATCATAAAAGTGTACAATAGATAATGGTACATTTATTTTTGCTGTAAAATAGTATCTCAAAAAACTTATATATATATATTGTTACATTTATCTGTAATCTATTTATACTTCTAAACATGATCATATGTTCAATAGTTTTTGGTAATTGACAATGGTTGTACATAATTGAGATATCGGTCTTTTGCAATTTAATATACTAGGACAAATTTGCATTCCTTCAGATTATGTTATAGCACCGTGTCATGTACAAAATAGGCTTTGACATTTACAAATAAAACGATATAATTGTGAACGTTTCACTTTATGTTTATGCAAATTTTCCAAAATGAATAAGAAGACTGTTCATGAAGTCATAATTGTCTTTATTTCTTTTGAAAATAATTATACTTAACATTTATAATGCTGAGACATCTGTGTGTGTTTTGAAATAAAAATATTACATAAAGTAGATATTATAGCTTCTATATTATAGCTCTATATGAATTTTTATTTAATTTAACATTTTCCATTTATTATAGGCTGTGTACAGAGTATTTAATTGCGAAGTAGAATTTATTATCCTTACTATGATATTCATTTTTGTCAAAATTTTTGTTTAACACAGTACATATATTTAATACAGTACAAAATATTTGCATTTAATGTATACAAAGAGATTAAAATTATATTAAGTTGTACAGATTTCTTAGAGGAGAATGTTTATAAAAAAAAAATGTAAAATAAAGAGTAACTCTACATGAAAATATCGTCCATAGCTTTTATAATATTTTTAAGTTTTAACAATTAGACACTTTCAATAACTACCAAGGTATCATTTTTCCATCGTGTTGAATGAAACAGCCTGTATGTTCTTCAGTTAATGTGCCTAATGTGTTCAAGATATCATTTACACTGGTATCAACATCTATTGGTGCATTGGACCCACCTAAATTTGTACGCACCCATCCTGGATGCAAGGAAATTACTAGAATACCATCATCCTTGAAATCAATACTCATTGACTTTGTTGCTGCATTGAGAGCTGCCTAGAAATTAGATAATGTCTAGTAGTATATGATTTTATTAACCTTTAGATAGCTGGTATTTTTCCATTAAAAACTTGAATCCTTTTAGAGAATGGTCAATATAGTGTTCAAGCCGGCTCTCTAAAGGTTAAAATATCTAATTATACGGAATAATATGTAAGAAGCATATGATCAGAACATTAATCTCATTAAAAAAATAAATAGAAAAGCTATCACAGACACAACTTTACAGTATGTTAATTATAGCATGTTAAAAAGGTTTATTATAGTATATTAAAATAAAACAAGATTTGCGGATTGAATAAAGATTTTAACTATCTTTACATCCCAATTTTAATAAATGAGGAAGAATATATGTGATCATGAATAATACAAACTATTTGAAATCGATAAATATTACCTTACTACATCTGTAAGGATAAAATCCACCTATTGTGTTATCTGCAATGCTTCCAAGGAGAGAGCTCATATTAATCACAGCAGACCTGTTGACACTCATATGTGTCTTGTCATCGCATTTGTTGGCTGCTACTTTTAGTAGTGGTAAAACCGCCTTGACATTTATAACATTTACATATTTATATAAATTATAAGAGACCATAATTTAAAATTGACTAGACAATAGCTCCAAAATTATTTAACGCTTTTAACAACTTAATATTCTGTTAAATCAAGCCATTTATTGTCACTCTGTGTTATTATCGTGTAATTTTGTGACATAGACTTACTTTTGTTAGCATAAGTGGCACCACTATATTTATGAAAAATGTTTTTGTGATATGATCTTCTTTCATAAGATTGAGTCTTGTGAATTTTGGGCTGAATCCAGCATTGTTGAACAAAACATTTAGTCCATCAGAATCCACTTTCTCACTAACAGTCTTCACTATTTTGTCATAATCTTTTGGGTCGGTAAAATCTTTAAACAAATAAGGTAAATATTAGTATAAGATTGTATAGTGATATCACAAAATTTGAATCTTTGACGCTTTAAAAGCTATTGAAATCGTATTTTTGGTAGAAAATTAATTATTAAATGTAGAAATTATTTTGTTAACATGTTAAACGCCAGATCTACTTCGCCTTTCTTTCCGTTTAGCCTGCGTTATTCTGTAAAACCTACAAATACCATGTTTTAATAATACTCAATAAAATTTTTTTTAGTAACAAGGAATATTTAGATATATTCTTTTAGAATCGTCAAATTATTTAAAATTTATTTATACACAAGAACATAATTTTTTAAATTCTATATCGTTAGTCACCGATTCGAACGGAAAGTATAGTGTCAGTCGTCGGTGACTGAACGTATTAATATTTTTTAGAAACGTAGTTAGAAAATAAAAATAATACTATAACGAATCTTTATTCATTTGTTAATTTTAAATGAACTGTAAAAACTGTTTTTATGCCCTTACATTATTTATCTTTGTTTATAGCCCAGTGCATCCTATCTTGTATTATTAATATTAAAAAATTTTTATTTAATTTATATATACAAACTATTTACTTCTACTGAATAAAATTGTTTAATATTAATGTGTTTTGTAATTTACTTTCAGTTACATTTGTAAAAACATTAATTTGCAATAAAAGCGGCTACATCTTAAAATTACACAAGTAAAAATTACACAAAATTAAAAAAATAGATTTGTTTTGAATATTTCGGTGACTAACCGGGCGACAGCTCGGAACGAAAGGGATTTACTTCCTCAGAAATGGGGGAGGTGTCGCTACCAAGGTAATTAACGTTATACTTCCGGTAACTCAAGATGCGGTCTTTTGAGTTGTTTCTTACATAAAACCTCCTTCATTTTTTTTTAGTTGGTACGGGAGGCGCTTTTAAATACCTCAAAAGTATGTTTAGAGATAGAAGTCTCTACCCATAACAACTACGGCGCCTTCTTTAACCTTCTTGTATTTACATAACGTTGAAGGGTTTTACTAATAAGAGAAGGAAACCGTATGGCATGTTATCGCTAAAAATGATTTGAAAAGACAACTTTTGAAGAAAGAGTTATTTTTCTCGAGACTTAAAAAATTGCTTCGAAGGATCGTTTTTACAGTCATTTTTTGAATTACTTTAGCCGTTATGTTATTTTATGTACAGAATAAGACGGTAAACGATTGTAGTGCATTGCTTATAGTATATTTACAGTGAACTTTCTGCTTTGACACTATAGTCCCGGTGCTGATCAATACAACAAAGTTTTTCATATCGCGGCAACGTGAACAGTATTTGTTGCTTCTCGATTTTATTCCCCTGGAAATATTAAATATGTAACTTTTACTTTTGTTTCATTCAATTAAAATCAACGGTGTTTAAATAGATCTAGTAGTTATAATATGATTAATTACTTCGTTGTCATCTGTCGTTCGGTGTTCGTAAATAATTGATCACATGGCAGTAGTTTTATCTTTCTGCACTCATCTTATCAGTAGAGATTAATACAAATGTCACAGAAGATTACGGGAATAAATTCTTTGTTACATAAAATACAATATATAATTCAATTTAATAAAATTTATATTTGCGACGTGCATGATCATCCAGTTCGCCACTTGCTATTACAGTAAGACATAATTCTATTCTTTATCTTGTCGTAGTGATCATTAAATATTTTCAATTAATGCCGAATACTTTGAATTTTTCTACAATAATAACTTGAATATTTTAATATTATCATTTTACGCCTGGTATGTTTCCCTTTTCTATATAAAAGTCCATTGTCCAGAATGTGCGTTCTACTTCCTCTTTCTTAATGTTTTTCACTTTACAATTTCCGGAACTGTTTACGAGTATAAGTATCATGTTTTTCTAATAAACTATCTCGATCGTACTGGTTCAAGGTTGAACTAAGCAGCACTCTATCCATTAGAAACGCTGGAACACTTGCTATCAGAAAGAAAATCAACACGTATCGATTGGAGCGGTCCCACTGAAATTTTACCTACTTTTCCGATATAAATCGCTACTTTATAGCAACGAGATCCTTAGCTCGTGTGAATCGGTAGTGAACAATCTCATCGTGGAAAACATCTGCGCAGGATTCTCGCATCATGAGATCGCGTAGCTCGAAGAAGAAGAAATCGTGGTGTTTTAGCTGCCGAGAGGAACCGCAAACCGAAGATTCAGATTTTAGTGATCAAGAGGCGAAAGATCGTGCGGCTATTCCGAACGAAAATGTCGAAAAACGAGATAGTGTGGGTAAGCGCAAAAAATCATTGTACGTCTACTTTTCTTTAAAGTCGAGTTACGCAGTGCAAACACATCTTTATCATAGGATCTTTCGGTCGATAAATCAATATAACTGATTTCTTCATAAATAAACAGTAGATAGCAGCACTTATATATTGGCCACAAAATAATTAAACAAAATAAAATAAAATTATAAAAAAAAAGATACTAATATCAACTTTATTTCTGATTTAATTATAATGAAAATTGCGCTTTGCAAAATTCTTATTTATCTTAATTATAAGGTTAACGGACTTATATATATAGTGATTGACTTCAGAGCCGTCCATAGACCACACGTATAATATGTGTTACTGCGTTAGTGCACAAAGTTAACTGCATCGGCGATTAACTATCTCTGTTATCAACTATTTCGATAATTACGTTCAATATTTCTCACAAGTTCTAGCAATTATCTTCATAAAAATGATGTGATCTCGATTGAAATTTGTCGTGTCATTGTCTGCTCAACGAATCTTACATTGTCAAACATATTGTATTTCCAGATTCTCATATCAGTTTAAATGGTAAATCATTTTGAAGGCCATCGAATTTTATTTCTACATACTTTTCCTTACTGAAACGTATACTGCATTTTTTGAGGATGTAATGTAAATCGTTATTGTCAAATTACGATCAGTTATACGTTGCGCGTAAAAACGTAGTAATGAACGTATGTATGTAATTCATAATAATTATAATTGTATTATTTCTTATCGTAATTTAATTCACCATACAGTTACATTATTTGAATTATATTAATATCAATTTACAGAAATTCAATAAGAGATCAAAGCCATTATTGAAAGTCACAAAGCTAAATTAATTGAATTTGTAGTTATAATATATTAACATGTCCTAGTAAAATACAATGAAGTGTTAATCATGCTGAAACGCAATGTTTAAATTGAGCATGTAGAGATTTTATTGATATCATAGAATGCATAACATAGTTAAAAATAAATAGTTAATCTAGACATTCTACTTGAAACTATTTATCAATGTGATATCATACGTACCTGTCTCAATGATATGAACATTTCTCGATACCTCAGCAATTGCTGTTAATTCCTGGAAAAAATAATGATTTTTCTCATCATAGTCAAGAAGTTTCTGTAGAATGTAATGGGTGCCACCAATTAAATTTTAATGGAGTACAAGTCCTTGAAACTATCGAACTTACGAATGATGCAAGGAATCTATAAATTATTCAGAAGCATGTATATGTTAGATTGGAACTGCAAATTATGGTTGCAAAAATATGAAAATTTAAAAGTCGTTTGAACAAGAAAGGCACATCTTATGCCATCAGTAATAGTTTTCATGAGAGTCGATCGGTAAGAAATTCTAAATCGGAACAGTGTCGGTGAACCGGTTTCTAAAGCCCGTTCTATAACGAAATCCGCGATGACTTGCACACCACTACACAGTTACTTGCGTAATCGAACAACGTGCTTTGTATGAGTCACTATAAATCGCACTTAAAACTCGCGTGCTTGTAGCAACCGTATAACAGATGGCGGTGAATGAACGAAGTCGGCGTCAGTTCGCTCTTGTCTTTCAGTCGCAAGAAATCTTCCTCCAGTCGCGGTGTGTTGAGTTGTGAACGTTCTCCAGAAGGAAATATTGTTTAATTCGTTACATTCTCATTTAGTGTGGACGAAATATCGGTAGTGACAGTCAACAATGGCACCGATTGGTAAGTGAAGCTTGTGAAACATACTCGGCCGTTGCGCAATGTCTTTTTCAATTTAGTTTGCGGCTAATCTTACCTTTGCTTTATTCACGTCTCGGCAAGTCGCAAAAATATTCTGTGGCGGTTGCGGCAGGCTCGCCAAGTGTTTCACCAAACCCAGACCCAAACCGCGATTACAGCCAGTGATCAGGATCGACTTCATCGTTGCTCGTAGTTTTGCTTCTTTCAAAGCGTTTTCGACGAAATTTTGTAACAAGTGCGGTTCTCGTGTAATTCTTACAACGTGTGTCGAAAAACACGAGTGTCATCGGGGTGACGTCACGTAGACGTGATAGGCTTCGACTCTCAAGAATCATGGCGACGTTAACACTGCTCGCGAGGCTTGTGTCATTTCGTTTAGCACATGCTAAATTGACTGAGTTACCATGGTCCAGGTGTAGCAAGTTACCGTCTGGTGGAACAGTAATGGCTTGCTTGTGTAGTGAGTTTCCAGATTCACTGGTACCTATTTGCAAACGGAGCTTAAATTTCATTATTGATAGTCAGCTAAATTGTTTTGTGTTGGCGGCAGATATTTCACCGGCAAGGTTAAAATCGATCGAAGTGATTTAACCATTGATTTAAAAATTAGTTAACATGTATGTCATTTAGAGAATTATCTCGTACCTATAGAACTTTTCGATCTCGAACTTTCGATATCTTTTTTATCTCTTTTGTGAAAGGAGTAGTGTTATTACATAACCTCTTTTAATTTTCATTTAGTAATATCTTAGTAATATCCTTATTAATATCCACTATCGTTTTCTTTTTACAGCGGATCAAAAATTCACGTATGACTTACTTGTAATCGGTGGTGGATCTGGTGGATTAGCAGCAGCAAAAGAGGCAGTGAATCTAGGTGCTAACGTTGCAGTTCTTGATTATGTGACACCATCACCACAAGGTACAACATGGGGTCTGGGTGGTACTTGTGTGAACGTTGGTTGTATACCAAAGAAATTGATGCATCAGGCTGCATTACTTGGAGAGGCTGTCCATGTATGTTGTTTTGTTTTTATTGTAAAAGCTATTTATCATGTTTGAAACACAGTTTGATCTTGGAATCTCAATAATTTTAGGAAGCAACTTTCTATGGTTGGCAATTACCAGACCCAAAAACTATTACAAATGACTGGGAATCATTAAAAACTGCTGTACAGAATCATGTAAAATCTGTAAATTGGGTAACACGTGTTGAACTTAGAACAAAGTAAGTGTTATTATTAAATTCTTATGATTTGGTATATGTAAAATTTAAGTTCCAGTTTTATTATAACGATACTTTCATTTTTGTTATAGAAAAGTTGAATACATCAATGCACAAGGATATTTTAAGGATGAGCACACAGTATGCGGAAAAATGAAGAATGGAGAGGAAAAAACATATACAGCAAAAAATATTTTAATTGCTGTGGGTGGTAGACCAAGATACCCCGACATTCCTGGTGCACTAGAATATGGAATAAGCAGTGACGACATTTTTAGTTTAAATAAAGCTCCCGGGAAAACGCTCGTCGTTGGTGCAGGATGTATCCTTTTATTTGTAGAAATTGCAATTATTACTTTTTTTATATAAGCAATTACTTTTCTTAATAATTAAATAGATATTGGTTTAGAGTGTGCTGGATTCTTGAATGGTTTAGGATATGATGCAACAGTAATGGTTCGTTCCATCATTTTAAGAGGGTTTGACCAGCAAATGGCAAATCTAGTTGCTGCAGAAATGGAAAGACGCGGTGTACATTTCATTTACCAGGCAAAACCTTCGAAGATTCAAAAGCAAGATGATGGCAGACTTCTTGTACATTGGGTCGATAAGGTATGATTCCAAAAAAATTCTGTCAAATAAATAAAGCCTACATAAAACTACATAAATTAAAAATTATTCTAGGATGGACAATCTCATAAAGATGTTTACGATACCGTCCTCTTCGCTATTGGTCGCAGGCCACTTACCCAAGAATTGAAACCCGAAAACATAAACCTCAAACTTGTTGAGGATTCCGGAAAGATTGACGCAATAAATGAACAGACAAATGTTCCAAATATATATGCTGTCGGTGATGTTCTTCATGTAAGTTTATATTTGTTTTGTATATGCATATTTTTTTCCTTATGCGTCCAATATTATTCTGTGTATGAAAGGAGAAATTCCTTAAACAGTTGAGGTAACTGGTGATAGTAAAATATATATGTATTTTAGAAAAAACCGGAATTAACACCCGTTGCTATACATGCTGGACGATTGTTGGCAAGAAGATTATTTGGAAACTCGACTGAACAAATGGATTACGTGAACGTAGCAACAACAGTATTCAGTCCTCTGGAATATGGCTGCGTCGGTCTCAGCGAAGAGACTGCGACTGCAATTCACGGAGAGGATAAGATCGAAATTTACCATATGTATTACAAACCGACAGAATTCTTCATACCACAGAAGGACGTCTCTAACTGTTACCTTAAAGTAGTTGCGCTTAGAGGCGGAGACGAGAGAGTGTTAGGCCTGCACTTTGTTGGTCCTCATGCAGGCGAAGTTATACAAGGTTTTTCTGTTGCTATGAAGTATGTATCGATATTCGAGAACAACCATTATTTTAATTGTTTGCTTGGTTATTTTAATTATTTATCATTTGTTTCAGATGTAATTTAACATTCCCAAAACTGAAAGGAACCGTTGGCATTCACCCAACAGTCGCGGAAGAATTTACCCGTATAAACATTACCAAACGTTCAGGACTTGACCCCAAGCCGCAGAGCTGTTGTAGTTAAAGCGCACAGAAAATGTTAGGGCTGTTACTCAGACTACTGGATATTTAAGTATGATCGTCAGTAAACGTTCTATGTGCTGATTATTTGCCCTGAATCTACCGGAACGGGCTTCGAACCGAAAATATTTTTTTACCGAGGAGTCTTCTGAATTTGTTACAGTATTTTGAACAAGAAATTGTAGAGCAATTTGCGACGTATGGCGTCTTATAACTTATTAGCTTCCTTCGAAGCATGTACTAACTAATCTGCGATGTTATACTTATTGTAATTTTTATAAATACCATTTTCCCGGTAACAATATATTCAGATGTATACATTTGAAAGCAAATAAACAAATTGTTAAAAATATTTCTAATTTGTTTACGATTCATTTAATAATAACGAATAAATGATTATTAGGGAGATGGAACTTTGTATACAAGGTGTATTAAAGATGCGAGTTCACCCGGAACACGTTTATCTTGATGCAAATACAAATTGAAATTCCATTTATTATTTTGTCATTTAAATTTTCAAAATATTAACCCACGCACAGCAGATTATATTTACAACTGTATAATTAACGATGTTTATGACAACATTTGCAGCTTTCCTCATCAATTTTTCAAAACATATTTTTGAAGACATTTAGTGCAAATCTAATGGCCTTTCTGTCGTTCGTAGTGTAACAGCAATTTATTTTATTTAATTACCGAAAAATTAATAATTAAATTAATAATTACACTCGTTCAACATGTCCCAGTAACCGCATTCCGAGGGTTGATCTAGCATTCTGTGATAATAGCTGAAAATCAATGCTTTGGCTTTTGATTTGGCAGTGAAAAGGCCCTGGTCATTTTTTATACATATGACTCCAATTGATCATCAACGATGAATCATGAATTAATTTGATTAAATCGTTGAGATTGCAATTTAAATTATGGACAAAATGAAAAAAAAATACACTTTTACGAGGTACCATTTACATCGATTATGACCTATGACCTTTAAAATCAATTGCGATTATATTGGGAATATAAACATTATCAGAAGCTATAAAAGTGTGGTGCAGTGACGATAACAACGTAGTTTGAAAAAAAATTCCGTCGCTGAAGGTACTTAAGGGTATATAAGCAATAGAGATTTTTAAGTACCAACAGTTGAATAATTTGGCCACATAGTGCGTAGAACGTATCATGATTGAACTTCTATTTTAGAAGTTATATAGGAATTTAGTTGAGTGAGTGTTGAAATTTTAAATGATTTTTTATTATTAGACTTATCTGTATAAATTAATCAATTTTATCAGTTGGGCGGGCAAACTGTCTGTATGCCAAATACACGACGAAGAGCATAACGATTTATCATTCTACCGAAGATAATACCCGGGATTGAATGCAGCAAAGTGTTGCATTTTTTTGCCTTTGTGAGGATACCTTTAAAACGTAGAAACGCACGATACCAAATTAATTATTGTTATTGAGTGACCTTAAATTTATTGTGTTCGAAATAATTACGGAATTTCGGAATATAACGAAAATATTGTCAAAAACACGAGACTAGCGCTGATGTGTTAAAAAACTCATCAATTCATTGTTACAATAATGAACACGATAAAAGATACAAATTCTGGCGTTTATGTTTTTAAACACATTGTGATAAAAGTATTCAGACTTTGGCTTTGAAGAAAAAGATAGCAACATTATGTTTTTTCAATCTTTCCGTTACATGCGACGCTTAGGCAGCATAATTTTTTATTTAACAATATCTTTTAAACACATTTTATATTACTCCTATTTCATGATAAACCGTGCACGATGATCTAAGTACTATATTTTCTGGCGCCAAAGAAACACGCCAAAGAAACATGTAAACATTTAATCTCGTGCCTAAAGCGTGAACGCGTGGACAGTTATGTTTACATCCTTCCAGTTCATCTCGAAGAAATTGCATAATCGGTTTGATATTTCCACGCTTGTTATATTCGGCTGAGTGTTCGATATTATGAAATGTTATCAACAAAGACGATATTTCTGTCGCCCGAGAAAGCAATAATGCGTTTCGTATGATTTTACTTCAACTGAATTATTTTACGGGATTTTATTTACCAACGAGGATTAGGGTCATTGCAAATCTAAAAATTGATTATACAACATTTTTAATCAATATTTATTTTTAATTCTCTGATGCAGTAGAAAATATAAGAACACTTAAGTTTTTTTATTAACATATAATCAATCTAGCACAGACACTTATGCGATTTTCTAAGCATCGGTATGAAAATTCCTGTTTCTTTGCTAATTAATTTCCATCGAAAAATTGGTAAAATTGGTCCGTGTTTTTCGTAACTATACCCGTTATCATTTTGAATATTAAAAGTCGTCACTATGCGGTACGTAAACTTTTGACTTTAGATAAATTCTTAATCGTTGCTTTCCGATAAAGGTTTTTTGGTTATCGTTAGAGATTGCAGTAGCAATTCGGATTTCCAATATATATCTTCCGAGTCCCTGATTCTTATCCAACAGAGTATTCGCAATTCGAACATGACAAACACGAAATACAGAATAACGAAATAAAATGATCAATTTATAATATAGAAATATTTAAAAGACGTAGGAATAAAATAAATAATTATTTGATTTCGACCATCTTTCCTTTACGTTGCAAAAACCCCTCGAACCGGTGTTCGAATTTTTATGTATTTCAAGATTGCGATACTGTAGCTGAACAATAACGATAATTATCGTAACGTTTTCTTTTCTCTTCTTTAGATTAAGGTTGACGCAAGTAATAAAATGTTAAAAGATCAGACATTAAAGCTCATTAAAATAATCTCTTCCTTAATGTGAGAATTCCAAAACCGGAGACAATGACCTGGGAAATTTACAGTTACCCGATATTTGTTTGATAAACATTATCACACGATAAACGAACTCGCGGCGCGCAGTGTACAATGTGATATCAGACAACATTCTTGTCGATTACGGCAAGTGTTTACTATTTATTCATTTTGATCACTCTCTTGCAATTCTGCAAAGAACGTGATATTTCCACATGTGAGTTTGTTCCTAGAAAATTCGGTATTCCTTGCTGTAACGTTCATGTTTTATATGTTGTACTGGGTTATCGTGTCTGGGTCAAAGTGCGCGGTGGCGAAGATTCTGTTTGACGTATATAAAGGTTGACAGTGTCGCATTCACTTTTAGTGGGTGCCGTTGCTTGGAAGTTGTGTATACAGTGGGCAAAAAAAAGTGTCGGTACACCTTTTAAAACGGTATAACTATTTTTTAAAAGTGGGCTAAATGTCTTGATCTTTTTGGAGACGTTGGATAGGCTGGTTTACATCGCGATGACTAAAATATTACTTATTTAATTTCGCTGTTACATAGGATGAAAAAACTAACAAAAAGGAACTCACGTTTTGACGACGTTTTTATCGGAGCCTGTAACGAAAATTTCGAAAATTCGTCTCGTTGATCTCGGTAACTTACACGCATGCTGAAAGTTTCATCGAAAAATGTGAGAAATCTATAGATTTTTACATCTTTCGACGCCCGTGGTTTAAATAATTATAATAATAATAATAATAATAATAATAAACATTAAATAATCATAACTATTTGTGAGGTGCTTAACAAACTGCTTTCCACGAGGCAATCATCGCTATTCTTATATACGTATACATATATTTATATACAGGATGCAGAGATAATTCTGTCCCTACATATTTAATCAGTTTAACAAACATATGAATAAAAAAAACTGTGGAATCAAATTTACATAACAGACTCGTTCTTGGTTATTGTAATTTCGTTCCACGCATTTTGTGCAGCTCATTTCAACACATTCGTCGACTCGCACGATTAATGGGAGATCTTCAATCTCGAGTAATAATTTTTCTGATCTTTTTAATCTTTCTTTAACCGTCCTCTTTATTTTCCTTTTTTCCGTATCTAATAGACATAACACCGTCGGCGTTCTTCGTTCATCCATTCTGCAATTCGATAATTGTAACCCGTTTTTCATAGTTTCTCATTTTTCAGCTGAAGGAAGATGGAAACGTGCATGTGAAAAAAAGACGCAAATAATTCGAAAAACAAAATAGATTTGAACAGTGAACGATCACAGAAAAAGAAGAAGAGTTTTTCATACTGGGACAGAATTTAATCCGCACTCCGCATATATTTATTTAATTTCGGCCTTGCGACCCGGGAATACTTACATTTCTGCACGTTGTTTAACATATCCTCATAACGCTCCTTCTTCCGCAATCGCTCGTCCGTTTTGCCCTAATTAAATCGAAATTAACATCGCGGTTTTTATACTGTTACAACGTGTAGTTACCACGAAGTTCGATTCTTCGCACAATTCGCGCATATACTCTTGTATTCTGTAGAGCGATGTTTACGACATACACGATAAAAATTAAATTATCGTTTCTTCCGTTCGCACGAACGTTCGATGATAAAGTGTTGGTCAATGAAGCACGAGTATGTTCCTATTATAGCCATAATCGTATCGGACGGTTTAAATTATTCTAGTTATACATGTTTTGTAACAATTCCAAGGATAAATAGAGAATATTACATAATACCATAACTGAAATTATTATTAATTTTCCATTCGCAAAAAATTCGTCAATTATATATTGTTATCGCTCATACGAAAATCGTTGAAAAAATTGCCTACTACTAGATAATAGATATACATATTAAACCGCAATTTACGGCGAACTCTATACATACGTATAAGCTATTATTGTTGGCTCTCATGTTCTTCCTAATTTTCCTTCAGCTTGTAAATGAAAATGGACAATTTGGGAAGAGGAGATACTATTATTCAAACTTCTTGGCTCGTTCTTACAGTTACCTATTGTCAACAACTACAAAAACTCTTCCCAAATTGTCCATTTTTGTTTACAAGTTGAAGAAAAATTAGGGAGAATTCACTGTTCTGTATGGAATTTTTTCTTATAAAATAGAACATAAGGGGTTTAGTAATAAGAAAATTACCACTACATATGACAAAAGATATTTATTACATATTTAAAAACAAAATATAACGATTGCCATGTATTTTTTTAATTAAACGCTTTATTGGACTTTGATTGCATGAAGAATCACCTACTTCCGATGACCCTGACTCATCAAGCAAGTCTTCTCTTTCTTTTTCTCATTATCTTTCATTTTATGATGCAAACCGCGGCAAGAAACCGCGAATACGACGGTTTCATTGTGCACAGATATAGAAAAGCGGTGAAATAAATTAAAAGGACTTAATGAAAAGTATCGATTTTGAAATGGAGAACAAATTGTATTTGTCACGACTGGACTATTATCAATTTCGTGAGAAGTCCAAGTTCTAATCTCATTGATGATCTTCCGCAGGACTATCGTGAACGGCGCGCGATGGCTGAACTTAAAAGTACAATTCCGGGCCTCGTACCTTTTCCGGGTAGGAACAAGATACTAAGGACACCCTACTCGTATCTCGAAAGTAGAAGAGAAGTCGATGGTGCAGAAGACTTGTGGAGGGTTGGAAATGGTTTATATGATTTGGAAAAGTTTATCAAGTTTCATCCCGGAGGGTCAGAGTGGATTGAACTTACCAGAGGAACCGACATAACAGAACTTTTTGAGGTAAAACTATGTTTATTATTATTTAAATATTTATTATCAAAATATTATATATAATATATAATATAACTTATTATATAATCTGTCTCTTATACACATCTAGATGTGTATAAGAGACAGATTATATAATAAGTTATATTATATATTATATATTATATATTATATATTATATATTATATATTATATATTATATATTATATATTATATATTATATATTATATATTATATATTATATATTATATATTATATATTATATATTATATATTATATATTATATATTATATATTATATATTATATATTATATATTATATATTATATATTATATATTATATATTATATATTATATATTATATATTATATATTATATATTATATATTATATATTATATATTATATATTATATATTATATATTATATATTATATATTATATATTATATATTATATATTATATATTATATATTATATATTATATATTATATATTATATATTATATATTATATATTATATATTATATATTATATATTATATATTATATATTATATATTATATATTATATATTATATATAATATATAATATAACTTATTATATAATATATAATATATAATATAACTTATTATATAATATATATGCATATTATATAATATAACATATATAATATATTATCAAAATAAACATAACACGTGTAATGACTATCAACCCTTCGCTCACAGATAACAATTTTGATTTCATAAAATCTGTACAGATACGATCTTTTGTCAAATTTTATTTAAACGGTCTAATTATTTCCAACGTTCTATCCTTTTGTAATTAGAGATTTAAGAGAATTCTTTGAGTGTAAATAGCTAACAGAATTCACAGGATACCAAAATTTGTACTAACGTCTACAATAAAAGTATATAGCTCGGTAGTCTGAGATTTGTTAAAATGAAAATTAGGTTATCTATTATTAAAGAGATTATTGAAACGCGTAATCAAAGATTTTTCAAAAGATACGACTTTCAGTTTACCTTACGAACGTGATAAGATTGCTATCAGTAGATAGGTTCGGCCATTAGCTGTGCTCCTTAGACATAGTTCGGCCGTCTGCTGAATCACGAACATAAACATCGCTCGAAAGATACGCATCTCGTCGAGTTTGTGGTACAAACATGATAGGATTATTGTTACATAGCAAACACGATAGGATCGGTGTTACTATAATAATCGTTCGATCGATCAGGATGATCGAGATACGTTTAAAAAGTATTCTCTATCCGACGCGATCTTATCGTTACTGAATTTTTATTTGATTTTTATCCAAGATTTTACGAGTTATCGGAGAACACTGATAGAGCATAACTTTCTTCTTAGCAAAATTCGTTAATTTGTGAAATAATTTTTGTACATAATTTGCCGTAGTCTCATCATCTGACCGATAAGCCAGCAAGGGTTCTTTCGAAATACTATATAAGGGATGCAGTTACGCCGCGATCGGTACCAGTAACCTTTGAACCAAATGGATTCTATAAAACCTTCAAGGGACGTGCACTCGAGGCCTTGAAAGACGTCGATTTCCATCATCCATCGTTAAAGTCGAATGTAATTGCCGATTCTCTTGTTATCACTACTCTTACCCTTTGTATGACTGCAGTCTCTTGGCAATCTTACATGTTAGTCGCAGCCGCTGGTAAGTGCAAAAATTACTACAATTACCATCGACAAGGAAGATAAGTCGACGAGTAAATTTACATACAGTAAGACTCATTAATAAAGGAAAACGGTTCATTCATATTTATGTTTCTCTAGTTGTAGCAGCTTGAACGCTTTACATTGTACACATTTATTTTCATTTTTAATTCAATATTTATATTTTATTTTCGCGATTTTAGTATATGTTTAACGAATACATGTTTACCAAATGCATGCAATTTACTATGCACCCAAAATATACATACAAATTCTACTTTTTTGATATTTATGGTATAGTTAGTATGCTTCGTCAGAGAGCAACCTAATTTTTACTACCCCTATGATGTTCGTTTTCACAAAGCACAGTAAATTCTCCCGAAATTGTCACTCAGCTTGGAAACAAAAATGAATATCTTGGAAATGATGTGATGTTGCCAATTATCAACAACTATAAAAACAAACAGCGAGACTCGCATAATCGTATCCGCTCTTCCCAAGTTGTCCATTTTTGTCCTCCAAGCTGAGAGACAATTGGGGAGAATTGTACTGTATTGCTTCTCCCGACTGTATAATTTTATTAATGAATCCGACGACGCGGAAATCGAGAGGAATCCATAATTATGTTATCCAATCAACGTTGTATCTGCTATTTTCAGGGACTTTCCTGGCGTGGACGACGATAATCGCTCACAATTTTTTCCACATGAGGGACAATTTCCGAATGTACTATTTCGATTTGAGCGTAATGTCGTCCAAAGAGTGGCGCATAACGCATGCCATGAGCCATCATAGTTACCCAAATACTATCTGGGACTATGAGATGTATGTGACCGAGCCTATGCTCAACTGGCTGCCCAGTGACAAGAAAACTAGAATCGGAAGCTTCATTAGCCAAATCATGAGCCCGATCCTCTATTCGATCGTTTTCATTGGTCAATTAATCAAAAGGTTCGTCTTGTAATCGATCTATCCATTTTTGTCACAAATCGATAGGATTCACGGCCTAATTACTACATGTGTAATCATTACATAATTATTACATAATCGTGTTTCCACGATCGCTTCTAGATTAAGCGCCGTCACAATTACTAATGTAACGAAATTATGTTTCTAGGTACTATTCCGTGATCTTCGAATACAAATCCTTCGAATACCGCGACGCGCTGCCATTCTTGATACCAGTGTTAATGTGTTACACCGCACCGAGCATCGTGGTTGCTGTTAAATACTGGTTAATGATCATCACGGCGTGCAGTTTCGTGTTCAGCATGATCGGATTTAACGCAGCCCACCATCATCCCGATATCTTCCACGACGGAGACATATGCAGGTTCGTTTACAATAAATTCTCTTTAATTGACACTCGGATTGTACATATAAAATGGACAATTTGGAAAGAGGAGACACGATTGTTCGATCCTCGTTTTTACAGTTACCGATTGTCGACAACTATAAAAAAAGAGGCTCAAGGCCCGAATAATATCTCCTCTTCCCAAATTGTCCATTTTTGTGCTCTATTTGAGTATCAATTAGAATTTACTGTAAATTAAAATTGAGTTACCGTTAAAATTAAGAAACAAATTATCGTGGCATTGAAAAACGTAGGGAATTTTTTTGTTTGTCGTGAAAAATTTTAACCGTCCGCTCTCGAAGTTATTATCGTAGCAATCCGACAATAAATAAAGAAAATAAGAAAAATAATAAATCGAAAATAGATAAAAAGGTAAAAAATAATAAATAAAAAATAAATAAAAAATTAAAAGTAACGAATAAAAAGAAAATAATAAAATAATAAATTAAAAGAGTGAAATCGAACGCGGCTAATCGTATCGAGCTTAAATTTTTTAGTGACTTCAGAATACAAACTCTAATAACGCGAAATTGTGTTTCGAATTCTGTCACGATCATTTTAAACGACGGTTCTGAGACCGCTGAAGGAGCTGAACATAGCGCTGGCCTAGGATTCTTGTTTCCAATTACACGAGAAAGCATATTTTCCAGGGAGAATCTCGACTGGGGCTTGCTGGAATTGGACGCCGTTAGGGAGCGCGAAGTGATCGACGATTCCGATTTTCTCTGTCTGACCAATTTCGGTCGGCACGGTCTCCATCATATGCTGCCGACCGTGGATCACGCTTATCTGCCTCTTTGCATGGACGCTTTCGTGCAAACGTGCAAAGAATTCGGCGTCAGTACGAAAAAGTACACGCAATGGGAGCTCGTGAAGGGCCAGTTTCAGCAGCTGGAACGCAGGGAGCCGAGGAAGAATCAAAGATAATGGGGGAAGCTAGATTATAAAATGTCGTTTGATTGTGCAACGGAAGACTGAAAATGTGCGAATAGCAACGCCTCGAATCGTCAGAGATGCTGCGAAATAATAAATTATCGAAGTTTTATGCATTTCCCGAGTGTTATCTGAAATCCGCGCGGCAAATGGTGCCAGCGTCCTATGTACATATTTTTTACAAAATCCTTTTTCGTAAATATAACAGTGATATCTGACTGAAACAGGTGAGAGTTAAAAATTTCGGCTTTTCATCGCGGTTATTCAAAATAAATGATCACTTATTAATCTGTTAATCGTTGTCGTAGATACCGTTAAATCTTCTATCGTATAGTATTTTTTATAGCGCATAATACGGTAGCATTTTTTCGGTTTTCAATCCTTTGCGGTTCTATGTCGAGCCGGAGTCGAAAATAGTTACTCAATTGATGCCGATTATACATTATATCCGTGGACAATATCGCAATTGGATGGCGCGTAAGAATAATAAAATGTTTCCTTTTAAAGAGATCTTTTACAATCTTTTAAAAAGATTGTAAAGTCACGAATGGGAATGCGATCCAATTTGTATAAAATTACAGCAAATTCTGAAATAAAGGGGAAGGAACGCTCTAGACCGCAAAGGGTTAATCGGTGCAGAAATAATTTTCTTCAAGATTTCAAAATAAAATTTTGAAGAGCAATTTTTTAAAGGCCGCGGAAGATCGGAAGAAGAAATCCCAGCAATTTAGTTCTTAACTTTATTTATTGCTTATTTACTTTAATAAATACATATTTCGGCTCTCTTTATAAATTACAATTAAGTTTATAAGGATAGGATTATCATTTGGATGACATGTATAATATGCGCGCCGCCGTGCAAATCCGCGACTAGCGTTACACTTATTCGTTGCTCGTCTTCCCATAACGTGTAATCTCGTTCGTTTATCTTGTTCCATTCGATTTCATTGTTTTTTGTTTGTTTTGTGGTGGATATTATATATATATGGTGTATATATTTTCCCTTTTTTCTCAACGAGTTTTTCTTTCCGTTTTAGTTCGCGTGCTCGTAATACATTAGGATACATTTCTTACTGGTTCTTGTCGCCTCTCGTATCTCGACCGCTCGCATTTCTACCTTTCTCACGGTTTCTCTCTTGCTCTCCCACTATCATTCTTTCATTCTCTCTTTCCTCGACCGTCAGCGCGAGTGGTGAAGATTAAGATTGCTCCGATTGCTTTCCTCCCCACGTTTCCCCCTGATTCGTGCTCAGAACAAAATATAAGTTAAACTTTATACGTATCTATCTATATCTCTCTCTATATATATATTATATATATCTCGTGTGTGTTCCAATCGTGTTGTGCCAAACGAGGGAACGTGCTCTGTTTTCTTTTTTTTCTTTTTTTTTGGACCAATCGCGTTCCACAAATTTTCCCATCCATTCGATAAACATGGCACAGAAACAACAACAAACAAAAAGAAAAAAAAATAATAAAAACAAATAGTGGCCAAGAAGCACGGACATTTTTCTCGTAACCGATGAAAGTAAAGATCGTGAGAGTGCGCCCGTCGGGCACGTCGAGTGTGTAAGGTGTGTGTAGAGGTGTGAAGATGATGAGGTGAGTTCTCTTTTTTTTTTCGTTCTCTTTTTCTCTTTTGACATTGGCGAGATGACACGATGATGCGATATTAAATCCCATTGTTCGTTAAGCTATTTTGCGATCGAGTCTCTAACGGTTGTGTTGGTCGCGTCGATCTTTACAGTTCACCATCGGGCTGCAGGTCGAAGCGTGGCGGGAATGCGGAACCATCCAATTGGGGTTTGAACGCAGATCGATGTGGCTGAAAAACAAACGAACCATCGTTAGCAAACTGCCGTTCGTAGATTACGTGCGTAGACCGCATCGCGAACGGCCGGTTAAAAGCTTCGCGATGATGTCTCGACGAAGACGTGTTCGAATATTTTCGAGTTGCGCCCTGTTCCAGCGACGGGATCAAGTTTCGCACGTATTCACAGATCTTTTTTCCATTTATTTACGTCTCTAGTTAATTAACAATTTCGCAATAAAGGTTTCCGAATTCTTCTTGCACAGTTCTAGAATTTAGAAAAACGTTTCTGCGACTATTTTTTAGGCAAACATCTTTACTTGAGAGTAAATTATAGCAGAACTCACACGAAGTTTAAATATGTACCAATTTTGGCATTGCTCCGAAATGTATGTATAGTCTTCGCGCGACAAAAAGGCGTCTCCATATTTACGTTCCCCCTCTTACTAGCTGCTTCGCTGCCGCAGTTATCGGTCGCTGTTGGCCGAAAGCCGTGGCAGTGGGGTAAGCGGTAAGCGGGGGAATGTAAACACAATGGTGCGTCCTTGTCGCGTGAGGACTACAGGGTTTCCCAAAATTATGGCGTTTCCGGGAAATGAGAGATTCCTTAGATCATTTGAAGCAACTTTTTCCTCAGCGAAAATGCAATCCGCGGCTTCGTTTACGAGTTATTAACGAAAAACACTGGCCAATGAGAGATCGCGTACGGCTGCCGCTCCGGCCTCGCGACCGCTGTCGCTACGTCGGACGGCCGACGCGACGCGGTATTGGCCTCAAGGGCGGAGCGCCGGCCGCACTCGGGCTTCGATTGGTCCACGTTTTTCATTAATAACTCGTAAACGACGCCGCGGATTGCATTTTCGCTAAGGAAAAAGTTGCTTCAAAAGATCTCAGGAACCTCTCACTTCCCAGAAGTACCATAATTTTGGGAACCCAAAATTAATATTTCAGGTACCTAATCCCATCTCTAGCAAGGCTCGAACGACGCTTCCCTCAGAAAAAAGGGATCATGTTCGCGGGAACCAGGCGACACGTTTCCCGCGTCCTGTCCGCGTTTTCGCACTCGCTGTAAATGATCGGCCTCGCACTCGGAAAACATGAACGGGTGCCGTGACGAGCCGAGGGTGTCGATACCTCCCTTGCGTGTCCGGCAAGGTCGCTCCGTCGGTTTGGTCGACAGTACGGAGCGGTGTTGAGACAATTAAGACAACAAAAACGTAAATGAACAAGGAACACCGAAGAGAGTTAAAACGGTATTATTTCGATGCTCGTTCGCGCTATACCAAGTAGACGACGTGCGCCACGTGGCTCGCGTACGTTTAACTTGTCCACTAGCCAAGCAATCACTGATCTAAACTCTATTACACAAGGACCCGATTACGAACTGTCGTGAACTCTTTGGGATGGGTGGTGCACAACGTTAATCAATGTCGGGGACGAAGCTTTGCATTTGTGAGGTTTGCTTTCCGGAGAAGTGTTACGAGCTTGTCACACAGGATCAGAAGATGAGAGAGAGAGAGAGACATAGACGATCGGTAGATGGTGGACGGGGGGTGTGTCGCAACAGTTTCTGTCTGTAGAGAATTGTTTTCTGAATTTGGTGTGCTCTGTTTTACATTTCGACACACACACACACGTGGCTGTGACACGTGCACGAACTTACATGGACCGGCGCGGTGTTCTTTACTCCAATGCGGAGGGCGCCTTGCGTGCCTTCTGTTGCGGCTATACAGGGACACAGAGATTTTACAATTAGAGACCCTTCGCTGCAGTGCATTTTCACTTTCTTTTTTACTACGCGCCCCGCTACGTTCCGTTCGCGTCGCGTACCGTTTTTTTTCGTCGCGGATCCGAGAAGTCGACGAGATCCTTGTGACTCAAGAGGGACCGTTTCGCATTCTTCGTCGTTTCATTTTAACGACGCCCTTATCTCTTTACCGAACGCTAACTGTGCGGCGCCGGTCGAACTAAAAGTCTTGGTTGAGTAAAATTTTTGTCTCTTTAGAGGTCCGATAATTATGACGCTATCCTCAAAGTCTGTAAGCTGCCCGAATTAGAATTCTTGGCACTCTTCCGCGTGCTCGTACCACGTGCCGTCGGTTTCATCCGGTTCGTTGACAACGTACAGGAGGTTATTTATAAATGAAAATGTAATTCAAATCGTCTATTCGAAGGAATCAACTTCTTCTTTTATAATTTGTCTTAGATTGTTAGATTGTTCGTTTTTGTGAAATATCCTGCATGTATGTGCACGTACACACGTACATTGTTTATTTAATAATGCAAGTGTTACTTAAAATCCTAACGCGTTCTTCGACTCTGTTAGCGTCGACTGGAAGTTGTCTGAGTTGTGCGTATAGTTCTCGCGCAACAAAGAGGCAGTTTTGTGTTTCCATTCCCCCTCCACTGCCGCGCCGCTAGTAAGAGGGGGAATGTAAACGCAAAGGTGCCTTCTCGTCGCGCGAAGACTATACTCGAGCGAGAAACAATAAACCCGGTTGATTGAAGTTTTCGAAACAGATGTTCTACAAATTTCGCAAAAGCTGATGAATAGAAAATTAGAGAGAGGAGCATAAATTACGAAATTAAGCTGTTGTTTACTACTTTGTATACGTTCTTTACTACGTTATATACTCGAGCGAGAAACAATAAACCCGGTTGATTGAAGTTTTCGAAACAGATGTTCTACAAATTTTGCAAAAGCTGATGAATAGAAAATTAGAGAGAGGAGCATGAATTACGAAATTAAGCTGTTGTTTACTACTTTGTATATGTTGTTTACTACGCTGTATACTCGAGGGAGAAACAATAAACCCGGTTGATTGAAGTTTTCGAAACAGATGTTCTACAAATTTTGCAAAAGCTGATGAATAGAAAATTAGAGAGAGGAGCATAAATTACGATATTAAACTGTCGTTTATCTAAACAAATAATTTCTGTAGAGTAGTCCGCAACGATATGTCGCTGTTCGACGCTAATTATGGACCATGAAATGCTAAATTTTAGAGAAATTGAAAGCGATAGCCTTTGTTGTCTTTAGCTCCACCGACGATTATCGGCTAGTCTTACATAATCCACAGCGTCGAGAACGTATCACTGTAGATTAAACGTTGAGACGAGAAACGAAGAATTTTATAGGATGCTTACCGCTGGGCTCAGTCCGCGCGCGGCACTTCCTCCACGTCCTTTGGTGCGGAACTTGGTGATCGCCTGTTCAGCAAGATCCGCCCTTTCTTCCGCTTCTTCGAGTTCTTGTTGCGCCTTGCGGAACTTAGCAAGATTCAGAGCAGCGATCTCTTCGGCCTCCTCGATTTGTCTCTTGTATGTCTTGATCTTCTGCTGGAGTTTGTCAACCAGGTCTTGCATACGCTCATGGTTCTTGCGGTCCTCGTCGGCCTGAACGTTTGCAAATTG